GGGTCAAAATCATTCCAGAACCTTTATACTAAATCATCATATTGTTGTTGGAAGCCAGGCTACATTACCAAACTGTTTATTTGATTTGGTTTGGAAGTCCAACACAGCTTCCCAAGTGGTGTTTGATAAGGTGCAGAATGCTAAATTCTTTAGGGGAGTGTAATACTTAGGTTATAACTCAATCAAAAGACAAAAGAAGATGCTGTGAAAGAATAACATCTGCTAAACTTGTGGTTATAGGTAGGAAATTTAAAAAGAAGTCATTTAAGACAAGAAAGTCAGCCAACTGTAAGTCAGGCCTTACAGAATAGGATGGGCTTTTTGTGGCCACCAGAACCCAGAGTCTAGCCCTCAGGCTGTAGTTTCAAAAAATGGTTACTCTTTTGCTATTATATTTTTAAAAAATGTTCATTCTAATACATAATATTTTGGCAAGAAATATTTACCGAGGTGTCCTCAACCCTGCCAATAATTTCCACCCCCAATTCATCAAGGATGTTAAAATGTTGGCATTGTGATATGTACATTTCCATACTTTTTCCAAACCTCTACAGTGATACTTGTATACAGTTTCTATAGTGGTGTTATATTTGTTGTTGTTATTTGCTAAGTCACATCCAACTCTTTTGCAACCACATGGACTGTAGCCTGCCAGGATCCTCCATCTGTGGGATTTTCAGGCAAGAATACTAGAGTGAGTTGCCATTTCCTTGTCCATGGGAACTTCCTGACCCAAGGATCAAACCGATGTCTCCTGCTTGGCAGGCAAATTCTTCATCATTAAGCCATTAGGGAAGCCCAGGTATTATATAGAGGTTTTTAAATAATAAAAGGTATACTTATTAAGTAATAAAAGTGGATCATAATATGCACATTTTTGTGCAACTTACTTTTGTTATTCCCAGTGTATCAGATAAACATTCCTCAAGAACCACCATTACAGATCTTTTTAAGGATTGCATAATATGCCACAGTATGTATACAACATAATTTGATCAACAGGTTTTCTATTGAAGACATCTGGATGTGTTTCTGGACTTTTTTCCCAACAACATGAATGCCATAATAAGTATTCTTGTATTCATAGACTTAGATATTCACACCAAAAATAAATAAATAAATAAAAGCTAAGGACTACTAGGATGAGAAAACAAGTTAAAAATCTTCAAAATCTTCTTAGTAATTAGTGTCTGAAGTCTATGACAGCCTTAGTATGATATATTTTATTTTCCTCTCCTGTTCTAAACACAGAAATCCTAACACACTCGTAGTCTCCTGAGTGACAGGAGCATCTTTTCTTATTTATAAGAAGGCCCTTCCACCTCTCCTGAGTTTATGCTAATGAGGTAGCATAAAGTAGGTCTTAGGGTGGGACCCCCAAGATAGCTTTGAGATGGGGCTGGTCACCAGAAGGACCAAGGAACTCTTCAGCTCTACTCCTGACCTCAAGTGAGGGGCAGGGTGTGCTGGAGACTTTAAGTTCTATAAAAACTCTTGAACAAGAAGCTTCAGATGGCTTCCAAGTTGGTGAACACAGTGAAGCGCAGGGAGGTTGGTGCACCCCAATTCCACATGGACTTTTGCTCAGCATCTTTGTGGACTTTGCCCTGTGTATCTCTTTATCTGGCTGTTCATATGTCTCCTTTGTAAGGATACAAAAGTTAATGCTTTCTTTGTAGATATAAGTAATGTGTCTTATTGAGTTCTGTGAGCTACCGGAGGAAATTATTGAACTTTAAGAGAGTTTCATGGGAACTCCAAATTCAAAGCCTGTTGGTCAGAAATCTATAAGATCTTGGACTTGTGACTGGCATCTGAACTGGGGACAGTCCTGTGAGACTGAGACCTTCACCAGCTCCCAGTATTTAATGTCAAAAATGATTTGAATTGCTGAATATCCAGTTATCATTTGAAGAATCAGAGATTCGGTTGTTGGTGTTGGGAAACACCACATAGGCCAGTACACCATGCTCATCCTCTTGAACAAGATACCAGAAATCTCATATGTTTTACTAACTTTCTCATGTGAACTATGCTGGCCCCAAATTGATTTAGATTGCCTTTTTTTTTTTTTTTAAGGCACCTTTGTCGCCTATCACCATTTTTTTCCCTTTTATTTTTAAAAAAATATTATTTGACTGCACCAGGTCTTAGCTGCACATGTGGAATCTGGTTCCCAGACCAGGGATCAAACCTGGGCCCCCTACATTGGGAGCTTGGAGTCTTAGCCACTGGACCACCAGGGAAGTCCCTGCCCAAAACCTTTCATTCAACAATTCTTTTCCCATGTGGCAGGTTTCCTTTAGATTCTTCATTTAGTCTGTTGTTCAATAAATATATGTGCTAGCTCTCTACTAGATAGCTGATGATACAGAGGTGAGCCAGATAAACAAATTCCCTGCTGTAGTTGGGGGAGACAGTCAATAAAACACATAGAGAAAAATAAGTTAACAAATAAAATAGGGGAATGTGCTCTCTAATGTACTGAATAAGGAGTAGAGAGGATTTGTTCTAGGAAAGGAGGCGCAGGCAAAAAGTATGACAAATACGTGGCAGGCATGTGTGTACTTATTTCAAGTGATTCCAGTGTTATTTTATACATATCTATAAGCTAATGCATGCATCTGGTCTCACTTCCTCACACCTTTTTTTTTTTTTTTTTTTTTTAAACAAACAGCACTATCCTGCACACACTGTTTTACATCTTGCCCAATGCAGCTTGGAGATCATCCCATATGAGAATGTAAAGAGCTTTCCTCATTCTAAAAAAAGTAGCTTTGTAATATGAAAAGCACTATTTAGAGCATTATAATGCCAAAAATACTAATAAGAAGGTCAACGCTAGATTCATGGGAAATCTGAAAAACTGAATGTGAATTTCCAGCTTTAGGAACAGAGAATGAGCTGAATTTCATGCAAGTAATTTTCAACTACTGGTAAGGCCAGAAGAGGTGAGTTTGTTTTGTTTTGTAATACAACTTCTGTCTCTCGCTTATCCTACTGGCCATGTCTGTGCCATCTGACCTTTCAGTACACAAGTAATCACAGTGATCACACAGTATTTCATGACCACCATCAAGTGTCTTTGAGGTACAACATATACAAATGAATGAAGTAATAAGATGTTTATAAGCTTACAAATGTCTTGTTTTAAAAATCTGGAAGTTCTGTTTCTATTTTGATAGAATATTGACTTCAACATTTTATATATTATATCCTACCAACATAGTTGAGAAGCAATTTGAAATATTTTATGAGGTAAGACAGATAAAGTGGAGACAGAATAGGATCAAGTATGAAAGCCAGGAAGGATGAGGTGTCTACCTAATTAAGCACTAAAAGGAGTGTAGGAGGGAAGAAAAGACCACAGGATTTGTTCACACACTGATTACAGGGCATCACTCTGAAGGAACACTTCAGTGATTTCAAGCCTTTTAGCATGAAAGAGATCATCACTTTCAGAAATGAAACCACCAGCTGTAAGGAGAGACTGTCAGTTTAACTCGAGGTACAAAGACTTTTGGGTTTAGATGGGACCTTCCAGTTACATTTTCAAAATTAGAACTGTTTGTTTTTAAAGGATGAAACACCTTAAGTTGCTTTCTTAAGTTCAAACAGTAATTGTCACTGTATAGACAAGACCCACTTAAAGCTTACGGACTGATAAACTATAAACTCACTACCCCTTAAGGGGTAGAAGTGCTATGTTTCAGAGACAGATGCCTACGAAGTCCTTAGTTAAGGCTAGATGTGGAGTGAGAGTCCTAAAATTTCAGGAAAAGTGAACAGTAGAGGGACTTCAAGTAGGAAAGGAATTAATATTTTTAGCTACTATATACACCCTTCACTTTACATCTGGCTATCTTTAATTCTCATCACAACCCTACAAAGTAGTTATTAACCATTTTACAGATGAAGATCTTGGGTTCAAAAAGCTAAACTTCTCATGCTAAAAGGATCTCAAATTCTTACCCAAATCTACATGTTTGTAGCGGCCAAGTCATGCTCAGCCCAGTTATTTTCATACCACTCCACTTGACCCGATATACTCATTTTATGAAACCTATAGGAGGGAAATCACACATTTGGGGCCAAGCTGGGACCACAAAGCAGGTAGGCTGATCATCCCTCGGCCTCAAAGGTCTTTGCAGGGCGCACACATGCCTTTAAGGGACAACCTACACCACCCTACAAGGGATGGAGAGAGAAAGAAAGAGCAATAGTCTAAAGACAAAAGCAAAGAGAAAAGGAGCCAAAGAGAAGCTGTGCGGATGGGGTGTGGAGGATGACAAGTGAACCGTGCTGTCGCCTCTAGTTCTCCAGCTGGTGAAGAATCCACCTGCAGTGCGGGAGACCTAGGTTCGATCCCTGGGTTGGGAAGATCACCTGGAGAAGGGAAAGGCTACTCATTCCAGTATTCTGGCTTAGAGAATTCCATGGACCTTATAGTCCATGGGGGTCACAGACAGGCGGACACGACTGAGCAAATTTCACTTCACTAGTCCGTTAACAAACTGACCGATTACACATTTCGGGAAGTTTAGCCTTGGCCAGCTTCATTCCTTAACTCCTTTCAGGAACTTAGTATTAATCCTTAGCATAAGTCCAGAAAAGACAAAGGCAGTCGAGCAAAGTGTGCTCTTCAGGCAGAAGTGGAAACTGGCGCTGCGAACCAAAACTTGAACCACCCCGCGGGCACTGATTTGAAGACTCTAAAAGACAAGTTTGGCTGCGAGACGCGCCTGCCTCCAAGGGGTGGGGCCGCAGCACCCAGGGCGGGGTTTCCTCCAGGCCCACGCCGCCTCCGCCGGCCACGTGACCCGCGGTGTTGTGGTCCGGCCCGCGTGGGTGGCGGGAGCGGCGGGAGGGCGGGGGCGAGGAGGGGCGCGTCACGTGACGGGGTTTAAATCTCCCGCAGCCCGAGCGGCGGGGGCGCCAGTGCCGCGAGTCGAGCGGGAGCAGAAGAGGCGAGGGAGGAGGGCCAGAGAGGCGGTTGAAAGATGGCGGACGAGGCGGCGCTCGCCCTTCAGCCCGGCGGCTCCCCCTCGGCAGTGGCGGCTGAGAGGGAGGCCCCGTCGCCGCCTGCTGAGGAGCCGCTCCGCAAGAGGCCGCGAAGAGACGGCTCCGGCGTCGGGCGGGGCCCGGGCGAGCCCGCTGGGACGGCCCCCGAGCGGGAACTGCCGGCGGCGGCCGGCGGCTGCCCGGCGGCGGCAGCGGCGCTGTGGCGGGAGGCCCAGGTGGCGGCGGCGGCGGCGGCCGGAGAAGACAATGGGCCGGGCTTACAGGGCCTATCCCGGGAGGCGCCACCGGCCGACGACTTCTACGACGACGACGACGACGAGGGCGAAGAGGAGGAAGAGGCGGCGGCGGCTATTGGGTACCGAGGTGCGCCGGGCGCGGGCGGCCGGGACTGCGCATCCCCCCTCCTCCTCCCGGGGCCCCTCCTGGTGTCGGGTGGTGTAGTCTCGGGCGGCTTGGAGGTTCGGGCCTGGCTCTGCGGCGTCCCCCTGCCGACCTGGGCCTTCTTCAGCCGCGCGCCTGCGGGGCTGAGGGCCGGGCTGCCGGAGCGGCCCGCGGACTCGCTCCCTTCCCTGCTCTCTACCTCCCCCCTTCCTCCCAGCGGCCTCGCGTTTTGCGCAGCCGCGGGGCGGGCTACCCTAGCTGTCGGTTTTAAAATAAGTTTCTCTCCCCTCCTACCCCTTTAGCGTATTGCTTTTGTTAAATGTCCTTCGCTTCTCCGCCCCTCCCCGTCCCGCACACTTCAACCTGTAACTTTTTGACTGTCCCTTGCGCCAGCCTTTTGCCGTTGCCGTGGCAAACTGACACCTGCGAAATTTGTTGGGGTTTTTTGCAGGGACTTTATTTTTAAACTTGTTTTAAATTTTAAAGAGCATAGTTGTTTATAAAGACATTACCCTTCTGTGGTGCAATTAATAGTGGGCGTAGGAGAGTAATAGTTTTTTAAGACTACTTTGCCGTGAATAGTGTTTTTCCTCTAACCGTGTTCTTACAGTGGTTTTTACATGAATTGTCTTCGTGTGTGTATATGTTACCCTGAAACACGAACTGACATTTTTCTGACATGCTAAAGTAGGTGTGATAGTTGTGTGTCTTGTCATTCTTCAGTGTTTTCAGTTTTTATCTAGACAGATGTGCCTCTCTATTATTTGTACCAATAAATCCAATCAGTGGACCATTTGACCATATGTAAAGATAACGTGTGCCTTAGGGACTGGATTAGAAAAACGACACTGTTTTCAAGAAACATAGTTTAATAAGGGAAACAAATAATGCAAAGGTACCTTTGTAGATTTAGCGTTATATAAGAGAAGTGCAAGTTGCCATAGCTTTATTTGCATGACTCTTTGGGTAAATTTTTATTTGGTAAGTTTTATGAACCATAATTTGTGATCGATAAATTCAGGTAAGGTTGCTACTTTTTGTGTTTTGATTAAGAATTAATTTATTTCTAGATTTTGATGAAACTTAAGCTTCTGAGCAGAATCCCCAGAGGATATACTGTTCCTGTGAACGGTGTGAGTTGATCCAGTAGACATTTTTTAGCGGGGCAGTATGAGTGAATGTTAAGTGCTTTATTCACTGGAAATTGTTGCATAACAATAATTATAGAGCTTCATAATTTTAGATGCAGACTGTTTCCGCAACCTTGAGTTACCTTTGGTTTCTTTTGCAGATAACCTTCTGTTTGGTGATGAGATCATCACCAACGGTTTTCATTCGTGTGAAAGTGACGAAGATGATAGAGCCTCGCATGCGAGTTCTAGTGACTGGACTCCAAGACCTCGGATAGGTATGGTTTCACAGTTTAAGAGCTGTCTTTTCTTTGATATTTTCTTTTTATGTCGACGAAAAATATATTTCTTTCTTCCCTTATTGTCTTGTGATGAGGTTCTTAGGTGTTTACTGAGATTTAATGTCAGCTTGGTTTTAGGGAAAGTCTAGTACTTTGTTCTCTTCTGTTTTTATTAAACAGCATGGGCCCACGGAAGCTGGCCTGTGTTATTTCTCAAAAATCAGGTCCTTTCCACTTGTACCCTCCATGTGGAATGGTCATCCTCCAAAGTATCTCGCTTCCTTCTTCATATCCTTCTATAATTTTTCTTCTTAACTCTTACCACTTGACAATTTCTGTATGTAACTTTTATTGCTGTATTAGAATATAAAGTCCCTGGGGGCCAGCGATTTCTGACTGGTTTGTATACTATTTAGTGCCTGGAAAAGTTTGCCCTCAGTAAATATTAAGTATTTTGATGAAATGGAAAAGTATTTTGAAGTAGAGAACACTATGAGGTTTTTATATCAAAGTAGTAACATGACTATCTCAAAATATTCTTTTCCTTAATGTGCTCTTTTTCCAGAAATGCCTTGACTATTTAAAGATAGTGATGATTAGTTTCTCTTCAGTGTTCATATTGACTGTATTTTTGGTTTTCTTAAGCTAGGAACTGATTAAGAATTTAGGGCAAAGAATTATTAAAGCTCAGAACATTAGCATTGTACATATCATTGCAGAGACTGGTTAAGATGAAATTGAAGATTGTTACTGGGAAAATTTTAAAGACAGTAGTTAAGTATAGATTTCATTTTTTCTGTGTTTTTAATGATAAATAGGGTGGGCTTTCATGATGGGTAAGATCTTTATTGATTTGCAGAGCCCTTTTGTACGTCTGTTGTATTTAAGTTATATTTGTTTAGGTTTTAACCAGAGAAATCTAGTTCTAGTAGTAAATTCACTTGACTCTTGCACGTGTTGTTGTTTAGTCAGTAAGTTGCATCTGATTCCACCTCATGAACTGTAGCTGGCCAGGTTCCTCTGTCCCTGGGATTATCCAGGCAATAATGCTGGATTGGGTTGCCATTTCATTTTCCAGGGGATCTTCTCTACCCAGAAATGGAACTGGGGCCTCCTGCATTGAAGGTTGATGGATTCTTTACCACTGAGCCACCGGAGAATCCCTTTACCTTTTTACCTGGCATTTTATAGCTCAGGGGACAGGATATATAGCATTGGCTCTGAGTCTCAGCTCCTCATTTCATTGGGATATATAACATTAGCTTTGAAGATGTTCTGAATGAAACACCTTTGCAGTGCTTTTTTTTTTTACTTTACAAAACAGCCTTAAGGATTGCTAATTAACTACTTCAGAAAATAAATGAGATTTTGAATGACTTGGAGTGGATTGATCTAGTTCTTTTCCCTTTTAATATAGGTCCATATACTTTTGTTCAGCAACATCTCATGATTGGCACAGATCCTCGGACAATTCTTAAAGATTTACTACCAGAAACAATTCCTCCACCTGAATTGGATGATATGACACTGTGGCAGATTGTTATTAATATCCTTTCAGAACCACCAAAAAGGAAAAAAAGGAAAGATATTAATACAATTGAAGATGCTGTGAAATTACTGCAAGAGTGCAAAAAAATTATAGTTCTAACTGGAGCTGGGGTATGTAAGATGGATGAGAATACTAGTAAAAGCAGGAAGGTGTGTATTTTCTCTTCAGCCTTGTCCTAGCCAGAAACACATTTCTGGTATAGAATTTATCCTTATATGATAATGGGCATTTGTGTTTGGAAACTGCTAAAAAGTGAGTGCAGCAGCAGTTACTAAATTGATTCAGGATTTTTTAAACTTCTTAGTAACCTTAAAAAAGATGCCCTTCTGTTTATTGACACAGTAGGTAAGTGGGATTAAGGTAAGATTTTTACGTGCTTTATTATACCACAACTCCTAAAGAAGATGCAGGGAATTCTGCGTGCGTTACAGTGTCAGGGCCTAATGATAAAAATTGGTTATTTGTCAGCCTGCATGGAGAAACTAGGAACCTAATATGTATGTATTGGTAAGTGGAGAACTTAGTGTAGGAAAGGTAACAGGTTCCTACGTCTCCTCCATCTTTTTTTTCCCCCAGTTACATAGAAGTTTTTTTTAACGTGAGATAGGGCACCATAAACAGAAGTGGAATAGAGACAGCAGATTTTAAAAAAAAGCACCATGTTTGACTTACAAAGGATTATTTCTCTAATGTACAGCTAGCTTCAATTGATTGAAAATAACGATAATACAATGGAAAAAAGGCAAAGACCATAGACAAACAAGATGGTTTGCAAATGATTATAAAAGAGGCTCAATATCAGTACTCAGTGAATGCAAATTAAGTATTAGTGAGTTTTCACTTTTTTACCCATCAGCTTACTAAATTTTAAATGTTGATAATACTGTTACAGTGTGGAGCATTGTAAGCATTCTTATACATCGTCTCTCATCCATTTTAAATTAAGATGATGTGATTGTGGTGGCTTGACATTTTCCATTTGCCCCACTTTCCGTCTCAATTAACTAGTTACTTAGGCTATTTCATATAGTGTGTTGAATACAGAATATGTTACATGGAAGTGACAGAACAGTTTTTGGAGTAAAGTTGAGTCCTGCTTTCTGACCTGTTGAGTTCAGGGAGAGTGTTATTTAACATTAGATGATCGTGACAAATAGGTATGTTTTGCTTCCCCAATGTGACTTAGACGTTTGTTTTTGCCCTGAGACCAAAATGGAGTAAACACAGACAAAATTGTGAAATAGGTAACTTCTGAAATCCAAATTTGAAATTGTCAATGTTTATTTGTAGAAAAAGCACAGAATCTAAATTTGTTCTTCAAAATTAAAATTGCAGTATTGTACAGCATAGTATTTTAAGGGAAATTAAGAAATTTAGTGTTTTTGAAGTAATAGAACCCTGATTTAGATGAGGGATTTTTTTTTTGGAAATACTTAACTGATTGAAACTCTTTCCCACTTTCTAGTTAAAATAATTTGAAATGGTTTACTTCCTTCCCAATCAAGTTGGAATTGCTTTAATTTGTTGGTTAAATGCTTATAAAGGTTTAAAGTTAGCCTTACCCCCTTATGAATTACCCACTTATGAATTCCTTACCCCCTTATGAAGGGAATATTGGTGGACTTAATTACACTGGTTTTCTGAGTATTTTATTTCTATTAGAAATTAAACTAAGGCAGTATCTGTATTCCCCAAAAGTTTCAAACTAAAAATATTTTCAACTCTTCCCTAATTGTGTGATAAGAGGACTAGTAATTATTAAGGTAGCAGTAGAAGATTTAATTGTGCAAATTATGCCATGCGTATTTCAGGTTTCTGTTTCTTGTGGAATACCTGACTTCAGGTCAAGAGATGGTATTTATGCTCGCCTTGCAATAGACTTTCCAGACCTTCCAGATCCTCAAGCAATGTTTGATATTGAATATTTCAGAAAAGATCCAAGACCATTCTTCAAGTTTGCAAAGGTACTACGAACTTTTCTAGCTGTTTCTTTGTCCTCCTGTCATGAAAATTTATTTTGAATGGCTGTCTAGTAAATTGAATGCTAGTGCTGTGGTGGAGTGAAATCACTGAAATCAAAATCATTTTAGTCAGAAATCCCTTCTTCCCCATAGGGACTATCATTTGCCTTTCTTCATTTTATGATTGTGCTTATTTTCAAAGAAGAGGCTATTTCATATTTCTCCGGTTTGCACTTCACTTTACATTGTCCTTTACATTGTCCAGGCTTTTTTTAGAGGTTAGTAGATCATATAAATGGAGAAGGCAATGGCAGCCCACTCGAGGACTCTTGCCTGGAGAATCCCATGGATGGAGGAGCCAGGTGGGCTGCAGTCCCTGGGGTCGCTAAGAGTCGGACACGACTGAGCAACTTCACTATCACATGCATTGAAGAAGGAAATGGCAACCCACCCCAGTGTTGTTGCCTGGAGAATCCCAGGGATTGGGGAGCCTGATGGGCTGCCATCTATGGGGTCGCACAGAGTCGGACATGACTGAAGCTTCTTAGCAGCAGCAGCAGATCATATAAAAGTAATACCACTGTTTTGATATTGAAATTTTTTTTTTAATACTTATTTGGCTCTGCAGGGTCTTAGTTGTGGCACGAAGGACCTTCCTTCGATCTTTAGTTGCAGCACACAAACTCTTACTTGTGGCATGTGGGATCTAGTTCCCTGATCAGGGATCGAACACCAGCCCCCTGCATTGGGAACACAGTCTTAGCCACTGAACCACCAGGGAGATTCCCTGTTTTGATATTGAGTATTTTTTATGGATCACAAAGATTATAACATCTACTCAGTATGTTTTATCGTGTGAGGAGATGTGCCTGTGATCGGGGTGGAGAAGGCTCTTAGATTGCATTTTAGTCAGGGTTGACTCTGTGCTAGAGTAGGTGGAGCTGCTCTGTCCAGTTCAGAAGCCATTTGCCCTGTGGGCTATTGAGTACCTAAGTGTTCTGTACTGAGATGTCATGTTAGCAAGTGTGCGAGACATCCCAGGTTTTGGAAACCTAGTATGAAAAACATACAAAATATTTTATTATATATAATGATTATATGTGTAAATAGCAATACTTTGGTATTGGGTTATAAATTGTGAAAATTTCACATTGTTAATGTGGTTACTAGAAAATCTGAATCGTGTATATGACTCAGATGTTTTTATTTGGCAACTCTGGAGTTTAAAGTTTGACATCACAGTCATCCCTTGGTATCTGAGGTGGGGATTGGTTTAAGATTCCCTCAGATACCAAAATCTGAGGATGCTTAAGTCCTTTATATACAATGGTATTTGCACACAGTCTATGCACATCCTCACTGTATGCTTTATTTAAGCGTTTCACCTCTCAGTTTTGGGGAGGCTGGGGCTACGCTGGGTCTTCATTGCTGCTCAAGGGCTTTATATAGTTGTGCCGAGCAGGGACTACTCCGTGATGCACGGGCTTCTCATTGCTGCTCCTGTTGCAGAGCACAGGCTCTAGGGTGTTTTAGCTTCAGTAGCTGCACCTCATGGGTTTAGTTGCCCCAGCAGCATGTGGGATCTTCCTGGACCAGGGATCGAGTCTATGTCCCCTGTATTGGCTGGTGGACTCTTAGCCACTGGACCCCACCAGGGAAGCCCCTGTCTCTGTATCTTTAACCTTCACAGATAACTGTGAGCTTTTTTGTTTTTACAAATTTGAGGCATAATGGTAACCCTACATCAAGCAGATCTGTAGGTGTCATTTTTCCAATTGCACTTGCTTACATATGTCTCTGTGTCACCCACTGGTAATTCACAGTATTTGACTTTTTCATTATTTGTTACAGTGGCCTGGGATCAGTGATCTTTGTTATTACCAAGGATGTAGTGATGGTTAGCATTCTTTTTAGCAATAAAATGTTTTTATTTAAGGAATGTACATTTTTTTGAGATATAATGCTATTGTACACTTAATGAATTACAGTATAGTATAAACATAACTTTCTATGAATGGGGAAACCAAAAAAATTCATTTAACTGACTTGATTGGTTACTTGCTTTTTTGCTGTGGTCTGGAACCAAACTCATGGTGTCTCTGAGTTATGCTTGCATAATGTTAATAGTTGCGGTGCAGTAAATTCAAAATTTGGTAAATTGTTATTGCTAAACTTCAGTATACTTGAAAGGGTCTTTTGTATTACTGATTATTCTTTAATGGGCATAGAAATGAAATGGAATTGAATCTTAATTAAAGGATGACCTCAACTACTTTCAAATCATGTGGTGTGTTTATATAACTATAGGAAAACCTCTGCCAATTTAGAATACATGTGTTAGCTTAAATTGATGGACTATCTTAAATAATTTTGTTTTGTGCAAGTGTGCTTATAAACAGGAATTAGAATAAGATGGGGATATTACTTTGGAATTTCTTAGAAAACTATTTACTTGCTAAAACTGAAAACTGAATTTGAAAACTTTCTGCAGGCTACTAAGGGAAATTTGAATCTTGCCAATAATCAACTTGAAACTTAGAAAACTTTTGAACTTCATATATCAGCAGTGATGATGGTCTGTCCTTTAGAATAGACTTCTGGTTCACAGTGAACTGAGCAAATAATGTAAAGTTAGTTTCTATTCGTTTTTCTTTGTTACAAGAATGTGAATTTGTGAAGATTTACTGTTTTTTATCTACTGGTGCTAGGGGTACTGCTGCAAGACTTTTTTTCTGACCTCACTCTGTGACCTTTGGGATCTTAGTTCGCTGACCAGGGGTGGAACTCATGCCTCCTGCAGTCTGCTGGGGAAGCGCAGAGTCCTAACCACCAGTTCCCCAAGGGGACTGCACAGGAATGAACTCTTTAAGAAAGCCATCAAGTAACTAGAAATTACTTTGATCTGGTATCTGAGTATAAGAGCTTGATTTACTGGTGCATTTATTTAATGCTTACAAGATTTTTGCTGTAAATTCTGTGTTCTGAGAGGAAACAAAAAACATGCCCAGACCAACTTCCCAGGTTTTTCAAAACCCTGTCACTTAAGTGTATATTAAATTGCCTAGTGAAGGTAGTAATCTCACACTTGGGGAAAATATGGTAACTGAGAATACAAATAGCAAGGTGAGAAAGAATGTAACCTTTGTTTAATGTACATAATGAGTATTCAGTTTTAGCTTAAACTGGTTTTAGTAGGATATTCTTGTTCATTTATTTTTGGTGCTTTGACAGGGACTTGAACCTCAGATTAAAAATCTGATGCTCTACCAGCTGAGCTCTCCAGGCAATTTAAACTGGCTTTGATGTATAAGAATATACAGAAGCAATTAAGTATTACTCTTACAAAGACAGGTTATAAAAATGCACATGATAGAAATCTAGACAGGGCAAAAGAGAAAATAAGATCTGAATTGGGGCAAAAATGCTGCTGTGCCGTGCTCCATCGCTGAGTCTTATCCAACTCTCTGTGACCCCATGGACTGTAGCCCACCAGGCTCCTCTGTCCATGAGATTTCTCAGGCAAGAATACTGGAGTGGGTTGCCATTTCCTACTACAGGGGATCCTCCCCATCCAGGAATCAAACCTGTGTCTCCTGCATTGGCAGATTCTGCCACTGAGCCACCTGGGAAGCCCAGAGTAAAAATGGCAGTGTTAATTTGTGACAGTGTACAGATTTTATGGTGCCTGGGAGAAGAAAAAGTTGGGAGAGGCAGCATGTGTCACTTCTCTGTGAAAGCTGGAGCTAAACAAATGAATTAATCTTTATAACTTCTACTTACATAAGATTGTTGTTCAGTTCTCACATTAAAAACTACCAAAAGGAAAGCATCTAGTTGCTGAAGTACCGCTTAAAATGAATGGTAATAGGTAAGAGAGATTGAGTTAGAGTCTAAAAATGAATAAATAGGAAAAAGCTGAAGGACAAATAAGAAAGGACAAAGAATGAAGGACAGTGTTCAGAAATTAAGAATGGGGAGGATATGTAAATCTTGTAATACTTTACTAGATTCCAAAAAGAATGCATGAGTAAAATACTCAGAATCTAAAATTTTCTACCAGTTTCTCTACTATGCAGAAAGTTTAAAAAGATGGTTACTTTCTAGTTGTGAGAGAAAATGAATTTAAGTTGATGTGTAGTTGATTTAAAATGGGTTTCAGGTGTATAGCACAGTGATCCAGTTGTATAACCTTTTTTTTTTTCCAGATTATTTACATTATAGGTTGTTATAAAATATTGAGTATAGTTCCCTGTGCTATACAGTAGGTCTTCATAGGCTCCCTATTTTTATTTATTTATTTGTGGCTGTCCTGGGTTTTGTTGCAGCAGGCAGGGGCTGCTCTTCCATTGTGGCACAAGGGCTGCTCGTGGCTCCCCCTGTCGCAGAGCAGAGCGCTGTAACGCGTGCAGGCTCGGGAGCGCTGGTTCAGTAGCTGCGGTGCACAGGCTTAGTTGTTCCACAGCATGTGGGCTCTTCCCAGACCAGGATTCAAACCCATGTCCTCTGCATTGGCAGGCAGATTGTGAACAGTGGACTGCCAGGGAAGCCCCGGTTATCTGTTTTATATACAGGAGCGAGCATATGTTAACCCCAGACTCCTCGTTTATAACCCCGTCTCCCCTTTGGTAACCACAAGTTTGTTTTCTGTGTCTTTGGATCTATTTCTGTTTAGTAAGTAAGTTAATTTGTTATTTTTATTTTTTAAAAGAAGTGATGTTTGATATTTGTCTCTCTGTCTGGCTTCACTTTAGCATGATAATCTCTGGGTCCATCCATTTTGGTGCAAATGACATTTCATTCTTTTTCATGGCTAAATAATATTCCACTGTGTATATTTACCACATCTTTATCAGTCATCTGTTGATGGACGGTTAGGTTGTCTCCACGTCTTGGCTGTTGTAAATAGTGCTACAGAACATTGGGGTTTCATGTATCTGTTTGAATTATAGTTTTCTCTGGATATATGCCCAGGAGTGGGTTGTAGGATCACATGTCAGCTCTCT